AATGCCCTTGGCTTGAACGAATTTTGTGAAAATTTGAATATATCTATTTAAAAAAATTTTTTCACGCCGATTTTTGTTTAAAAAAATGTTTACAAAAGATTTAATCATATGAAAAGAGAATTGGCGCCAGCTGCAGCAAGTATTTTTTGGCGCCATGTTCGATAAGAACATAACAAAAACGCATAAATGCGTAAAATGAGCGAAAAATAAGAGATCAGAATTAAAAATGACTTGCTAACCTTGCAGCATCTTCAACATTTGTAACTGAAATGGTTGCATTGGATATTCGGAAATAAACTACAGCATCAACAGCCACCGTGACAGAATCTTTAGAAAGAATCTGAAAAATATAAAAACTGTAAAATATTTTGAAAAAATATGTGCGGAAATACTCGGTTATAAGAAAATGATAAAAATCTACAATAAGTGCCGGCAATTTTTATCGCCATTTCTGGCGCCAATTTTTATAAGGACACAGATGCGCAAAATAAGCAAAAACTATCATTGATGACTGATAACGTTGTAAATGACATAACCTTATTACTACAAATGATATGAACTAACTTATTCATACACTTAGATAGTTGTTCACTTACTTACCTCCTGAGGAGGCACTTCGAAGGAAATTACTCGCAAATCCACTTTGCGATATGTATCTATGCATGGAACAATGAAGAATATGCCTGAAATGATTTGTTGATTTGCTTAAATCACTTCCAATAACATTCAGAATGCCAAGAAATTCGAGTTGTAATTAGCATGCAAATAAAGAAAAAAGGATCAAATAAGTAGGGCTAATTAATAAAGCAGTGGATATCTAAAGCTGAAGCTCAGATAAAGTGAATTAAAGTAAAGTAAGTCAAGAAAGTAAAATAAAGTTCAGTAACACACCGGGACCCTTTGCTCCTCCGGGCATTAAGCGTCCCAAGCGAAATATTACTGCTCTCTCATATTCTTGAACTACCTGAAATTCATTATCTACATTACTGCTGTTGTCATTCAAAGTAATAGCTTTTATTTTCCCTCCACCTGTCTATTTTTGCGTATATTCATATAATAATTATAATTTCTTGTCATTGACACTATTGACAAATATAAAAAGACTGGGAAAAATTCGTCGTAAAATTACAAAACATAATAGTGATTATTATTTATAATGACTCAAATAAAAACCGAATCAATTAAAGACTGTATTCGTACTAAGTGATAAAATTAGTAATGATAATAATAATGATTCTAATAATGACGAGGCAAATGTCGTATCAAATCACGTTTTTGGACAATTTCAGAATGATCAGATTTTTCAATTAATCACAGGCTTGTGAGGCAGCCTATTTCATAGTCAGTTATAAGAATTTTCTGAGATAAGATTTCCTATGCATTTTTTTTCGAAAATA